TTTTCTCTATTTTTTGTTGCATCCCACTGTGTCTGTATTGAAACAGTTCCTTGTTTTGCTTGTCACCGTAAACAGATCTCAGATTCTGCTGCTGTTGTTGGCAAGGCTTATGCTGTTGTTTTCAGTTTGGTAGATTTTCCTACGTTGAAAAAAAAAAAATCATGGAGCCGTCTTCACGTCGCTGACTTTTATAAGTGGGATTTTAAATGGTTAGAGTGCGTGTGGTTATTTAGTATTATGATGCAAATACGTGGACTCTGTCTTGAATAAAATCTGTGCATTTGGGGGCATACCCCTTCTTATACCATTGAATGTCCTAATTAGTTGACTTCTTTGTTTATTATACGACGGAGGTTCAGATCCTCTTCACTAGGTAGAAGTAGTTTAGAGACTGCTATAAAAAAAAATTACTTACGAGATTGCTTTTTTTTTTATGCCAATGAATTTGGAGTACCGATGGCACTTTTCGTAATTATTTTTACCGTAATTCACTCACCCTCAATCTGCAATTTTAGGATAGCGAATTTAATCAGCGTCCCACGCCTCGTTTGGTAATTAATTTGAATTTCAAAGGAAGAAATAAAGAGTGTTTTATAAATGAAAATATGTAGATAAAAACGATTAGTTATCTCACATCTTTCAATATGACTTAATATTTCTTTCCTTTCAAGTTTCGGCACGTAAAACTACGCAGAATTTTTTAAATATTTTTTTAGCTGAAAGTTCTTTATAACTAAATTGCGTAAATTTAGTATCTCTATTTTTAAAAGAGATTAATGGGTATCCTTGTCATAGGAGGGGATTTCCTCCTATGACGCCTCTAAAATCACATGATTAAGCGACATTTTGGATGATCCGCTCCGTTGAAATTGATCTACATATTCTAAAACCCTAACACACCAAGTTTGGGATGAATCCGTCGTCGTTTGACCCTCCATCGAGCCATGTGAAAAGTTCTATTCATTCAAAACCGTTAAAATTGATACGAGTGGATGAAGGGTCAAACGACGACGGGTTCACCCCAAACTTGGTGTGTTGGGGTTTTAGAATATGTAAATCAAGTTCAACGGAGATTCTAAAACCCCAACACACCAAGTTTGGGGTGAACCCGTCGTCGTTTGACCCTTCATCCACTCGTATCAATTTTAACGGTTTTGAATGAATAGAACTTTTCACATGGCTCGATGGAGGGTCAAACGACGACGGATTCATCCCAAACTTGGTGTGTTGGGGTTTTAGAATATGTAGATCAATTTCAACGGAGCGGATCATCCAAAATGTCGCTTAATCATGTGATTTTAGAGGCGTCATAGGAGGAAATCGTATAAATAAAATCGTATAAATAAAATTGTGTATCCTATTTATATTTTTTTTCAGTGAATTTGTTCGGGAAAAAAAACTGATGTCTATTTTTCTATTTTTCTACTTTACCAAAATCTCGTTTTGTTTATCATGAGTCGGGCAAGGCTAAAAGAGATTTGTAGTTTGCAAGTGGAGAAAAAAAAAGGGAAAACAACGACGGTTTTTGGAAGATAAGTAACAGAGAAAAAAAAACAAATAAAAATAGACAAAGACGATAGTATCCTTCCCGCTTTTTAACCCATTTTCTAATTCTTACAAGTTTAATAATTCTAAAAAATCTCATTATCTGAGTACCAAAGCATTTCTTTTTTTATTTGTTTAATAAACAGTTGTGATTTGTTTTAAAGTGTTAAATTTAGAATAAATCATAACTGATTATTAGACAAATCCCTATTTTTTATACGGGGAGAAATTGGTGAGCTCTTCCTGACAGTAAAGTTATGACACGTGTCAAATTTAAGTGTGACATCAAGTCCTATCAAAAGACCTAAGAATTGTCATCAAATTAAATCTAACTATAAATAGAAAATTCTAATAATTCAATAAAATTATTGATATAGAAAATTCTAATAATCCAATATTTTGCAATTATAAAATTCTCATCAAATTAAAACTATTCACAGCTAGAAAATTCTAACAATTAAATATTTGGTAATCATAATCAAATTTTAACTATCCATAACAAAATTTATTTTATCCAGTTTAAGGGGAAAAAACAAATTATGATAGAAAATTACAAACAATACCGTATAAGATCCAAAAATTACAAACAGACCCTCAAAACAAATCTAAAATTACAAAAAACCCAAGAAACTAAAATTCGAAGCCAACCCTAAAAATTCAAAAAATATGCAAAACTACAAACAAACCTTTTAAAAATATAAACAATACACACAACCCCATAAAAATCCAAAACTACAAACAGCCCCCTAAAATATAAAATTGTAAACAACCCCTAAAAAATCTAAAAATTACAATCAGACATTAAAATTAAAAAAATTACAAACAACCCATTGAAAAATTTCTAAAACTATAAACAACTCCCCGAGAAAATCTGAAAACTACAAACAACCACTTTTAAAAGAAAAAATTACGAATAACCTTCTAAAATCCAAAAATTATATATAAACCCCAAAAAAAATAAGTCGTTTGTATACTCTTATTTATCATAAGTCGTTCATTGTTACAAGTCATTTGTATACTCTTATTTATAATAATAAAAAAATAGAGCATATAGCAAACACAAAAAAGAAGTAATATCCAATAATAATAATAATAATAATAATAATAAAAGTTAAAATGTTCTCCAAAGAGCAACTAAGTGTTTTGCCTTAGAATAGTTGGGGGAAGCTCTCACTTCTATATTGCATGAAACTTTAGGGTGTTAAAGTTGGACATTTAAAAACTTTAGGGTATGTAAATTTACCGGCCAAGGAAAAAAAATCACGGCAGTTGAATTTAGAAGCACGAAGCATAACTGAAAATAAAACTCATAAAGTAAAAAAAAAAATCATATGTACAAATAAAAAAAAATCAGACTCACCGGTTGGACGTAACACTCGTCAATAGTTATGACAGAACTAATTGTCTCTCTACTGATGCGTTTGTTGTAGCAAAAAAGAAAAGAAAACACCACCAAAAGTAAAGTACTCTAATGATGCACTTCTTTTTGGGACCAAAAAGTTAAGCCTCCACTTTTCTTTTCCTTTTTCCCCCTTCTAGGGAGTCTGGAAAAATAATATCACTAGCCACTCCATCAAAGATCCGACAACAGTCAACAGTGGTCCATTTGCAATAGTGGGTTAGTGTGCAGGTCAAGTGGTAACTCCATTATTATTGTAGATGCTCGTAGACAAACAGTCGATGGGGATTTCTCGCAGACGGATGCAGCTTTGATCCTGACGACGATGGGGAAGAAGGAGAGGATGAATGTTGGGACCGACTCCTCCTCCGACTTTATGCCCGATTCTGAGCGCACAGGGTGGACTGATAGCCTGCACATGCAAAAATCGCAGGAATACTGAGCTAGTTTCCCCTGTTGTACCTCCAACGATCAAGTCAGTTGATGAACTTGGAGAGGGTTTGTTGAGAGGCCCCTGGGCCATTGAGGTCCTTGCAGGGGTTTTTTTTCCTCTTGGAATTATTAAAAATAATAAAGGGGAGTAAAGCTAAGGTGCAAGAAGAAGTAGCCAGAGCCCTCTATCTCTTACCTTCCTTACCTTCTTTTATAGCCCCCTTGCCTCTGGGAGTTTGACCCTCGGCTTTTGTTGACTATGCACAGGAGGCGGTTTGAAAGGTGAACATGCAGGCTGCTGAGTTATCTTTCTTCCTCCAGGTGTCGGCAGGCGACTGGGAGGAAAGTCACTTTGTGTTAGGGGAGAGAAGTCTTCTCAGTGCTCTGGGCTTGTCAGAGTAGGCAGGATGTAAGGTAGGTCGGATGTGTTGTCGTCCTTCTTTCTCTAAGTGGCGGCTGGGAATTGGAGGAGAAGTCATTTGTGTACAAAGAAGCATCATGACAATTCTGTGGTAAATGACTTGTGAGTGGAATAGGCGGCTTGTGCAGGATGATCCTTGTCAGAGCGTAGATCTTGATGGGACTAGTCAATGCTGTAGCTTCGAGTGACATTTGAAGTGGTCTTGGTCAGATCTTATCCCTTTAGTCGAGGCGGGTTGATCCATGAGTCATCACTATGATTTGTCGACCGACAACCGAGTGAGTTTTGGGACGAGAGCGCCATCGAGACGTCCGCTCGGGGAGTCGTCTTAATTACGGAGGACCGACTGGTCCCGCGCTTCTAGTCGGTTATGACGACTCTTGGTCGAGAGAAGGCTCGCCTGCTTGACTGGTAAATAGACTTGACATTGGTCCGGGCTTCTGAGTTTCTTGAGCCGGTCAGGACCACGACTTTTTGGGCCTTTATAGTCAATCTTTCGACGTTCTTATCTCTAGATGGTAAATTACCATAACAATTATCACTCTCAACCACAACTCCAACCACACCCTCTCTCTCATTTGCTACAGTGCACCGCGCCCAAATGAGATTTTAAAATTTTAAAATCTCATGTGGGGCCCGGTGCACTGTAACAAATGAGAGAGAGTGTGTGGTTAGAGTTATGGTTGGGGATGTGCCCCTAGTGCCATTCAAAGCTAATTTTTTTTTATTTGAAAAAAAAGCAAGTAGATAGAAGGGGGAAGCATTCCCTTCGCTTTCCCTTATATTAGAATTTAGAGCTTCTAATATTCTTATTCTCCATAGTTATCATTGAAATTGTAATCACATGTTAAAAATTATAAAATAAAAAACATATGGCAAGTGAACAGCAAAGAATATCTTCAGTACAAATCTGAAAGGAAAATGATTTAAGGACCCAAAATATGGGACCAAGTGAGGGGACATGTGAGGTGTCCACTCCCTATTGCATAATGAGTTGGCATGCCAACTCATTATGCAATAGGGAGTGGACACCTCACCTGTCCCCTCCCTTGGTCCCATATTTTGGGTCCCCGTAGCAGCACTCAATCTGAAATTGGTAACTTCATGGATGAGGATTTGTGTTTGAAATGCCATAAAGAAGTCGTGATTGTAAGCTAACTGAGATGTTATACCTTTGTATTAACTAATTGT